TAACAGGATCTGATGGTTTAATCCCTGTGAGTACTGTAGGACTAATAAACCTGTCTTTTTCATCGGTCTCTCCACCAATCACACACTCTCCATGGGATAACAACTTCTTTAGACGTCTACAAAAATATATTTTCAAGTTAATATACATCTTGGATTTGAGCGTTTTTTTTTGTAAAGCTCAAGAAAAGATAAGTAAGTAAATGATTTGGACACTTGGCTAATGTTCTGTGGGGAAAAAATAAGATAAAAATGGAAAATTAACTATTCTTACTGGAAATGTCTTTCGTTTATAATTCTTCCATAGTTTGGCGAATATCTGGGATCCTAAAAAGACAATAATGATACTTTAACCAAATATGATATTTTATACAAATGCAAAGTACTATATAGCCATTCACAAATCATCATGCCAATCAATCCGAGTAAACCAATCCATAACCAGTAAACCTGTCAATCAATCCATCAATCAATTAACTACTCCTTCAGTGTATGGTCTAATCAATCAATCAATCGGTCGGCTAGTCAATCAATTAATCAACTAATCAATCAACTAATGGCCTTATTATATTGTACCTGTCCATAGAATTTAAATATCGTTTCCTTCAAATGTTTTATTAGTTTAGATTGTATTTCTGGGCTGCATAATACRTAATCAGGTGCTACACAAGTCTGTTGAAAAACGAACCCATGCATCAAATCATATCATCTTATATTCCATAATAAATTTATATTAAGTATGTTTGCTTAATACCTGTCCAGCATTGCTAAACCTTCCCCAAGCAAGTCTGTTTGCCACAACAGCTAAATCACATTCATCATCAATGTAACATGGGCTGATGGAAAAAATAAAAAACAAAAGTCATTATTATTATTATTGTGATCTCTGTGATTATTTTTATCAACATCTCTTGCCGACTTCTACCCCATAACGGTCTGTGCATATATCATCTTCAATTTCCAATGCAGCTATACAGACAGTGATTCCCCGCTTTATATTCCATGATGTTGTACCATTACCAGACAGTCAAGGACACCAACACATGCCTTACCCTCTCCTCCCTAACAAATATCGTACCTTTTCCCACCAAGCTCTAGTGTTACCCTTGTTAGATTCTTTGCTGCGGCTTCCATGACTATTCTWCCAACTGGACCACTTCCGGTATAAAATATCTTGTCAAATTTTTGTTTCAAGAGTTCTTGTGTTTCTTCAACTCCACCCAGCACAACTGGGTAGCAATCCTGGCAAAGGGTAAAGAAAAGATCAGAATATGAGTTTTCAACATAAGTGAATATCCAATGTTGCATATGAAAAATTCCTTTTATTCAACGGTCGATCTGAAGTGGCAATGCACATCCCCATCCAAACAAGCAAGCAACCACAAACCACCATCAATTACCAACCAAACGAGCAACCAACCAAACAACTAACCAACCAACGTCCAACCAACCAACCAATTAGCCAAACAACCAACCAAACAGCCACACAACCAACCAACCAGCCAAACGA